TTTTGTTTTCACCAATCCCATGCACCCATGCCCACCGTATCCGTATGGATACGTATCCGGAATCCATGCCACCATCGCGCACGTCGTCGGCGATCGCCGGCCGCGAAGGCGCGCGCATCGTCTCGACGGGCGCCATCTGGGGCTACGTCATTGTCGGTCTCTCGTTCGCCTTCTTTATGACCTTCTTGTACGTCTACCTTGCCTGGATGAGGGCCTCATCATGGCGCACGCAGGTACCTCATCGTCGTCGCCAAGCTGCTGCCCACGGACGACCCGGCGCGCTTTCCCATGATGGAGACGATTCGGCGCGACCACTTTTACTGCTACCTCATTCCGCTCACGATTCCCGCGGGCTTCATCGCCATGTACATCAACTGGGTCAGCCTCAAGTACTTCCGCCACAACTAAGATCTCATATATTCGGTCGACCACTCACGTCGCCGCCGTATTGCTACTACGGCCGACAAACGTGGCGTTCTGGATCAAATTCTTCTCTTTCGCCTTGCGGAGGAGGAAGCGCAGGAACGCCGCTTGGCGCGGGCAGCGCTTTATCGACGCCATCTAGTCCCAAGACCGTTGCAGCCCAGCGGCGAGTACGATGCAGTGCCTACCGAGAGCGTCGCAGTCTTGGCCGCGGCCGCCTGCGCGACCTTGACGTACTTGTTGAACTTGGCGCTGTGCTCGGGGTACGCCTCGGCGTGCGGCCCAATCTCGTGGTTGAAGAGATTGAAGCCGACGACGACACGCGCCGTGTCATAGGGCAGCGCCGAGACCGGGATGCTGCCGTGGGGAAAGTTGCCGTCCATGACAATCCCGCGCTTGTACTTGTACGGCACCACAACGTACGACGCGTCAGTCGTCATCTACAGCAGGCGCGTCAGGATGACAGATCGCTCAGTCTCTCGCTACCTGGTCCAGCGACGGCAATGGCGCCACCGACTCCTTGTACCCATGCTCCTACCCTGCGTCAATCGAGAGAAGAGCGCCATGTGTGCTGCGTACCTTGTAATGGTCGAGGCCGCGCGTGTTGGCGTAGAAGGCCCCGCCCTCCATATGCGATTCGGGCGTCTCGTTGAGCCGGCTCACGTGCAGCGTCGCGCCATACATGGGCGGGTACGTCACGTTGGTTTGGTACCTAGTGCGATACGACAATAGTGTCCATCGCATGTCAATAGGTTGTGTCGTACCGAAACATTTCCGCGTAATCCATGTGGTAGGCGACCGTGTCGCTCACGGTCGACGTGATGACCCAGACAACGACGCCGTGCGTGGCGGCCCAGTCGGCGGCCGGAATCGCCTAAGACATGCGCATCACAGGCGTCAAGCTACACGCATCGTGGTACCTCGGCCCCGAGGAGAAAGGCGCGGATCGTGCGCAGAGCTAGCGTATGGCGCGCGTGGTCGTCCTTGGTTTCAGGGTACGCTTCGAGCTGCCGGTCGAAAACGTCGCTCGTTCGAATGTACACGCCCCACACCTTGGCCGCGACCGCGCTCTCGTACAGGTCGCCCGCGACCGCGTCGGGCACGGCGTTCTCGACGATGCGAAAGAGGCCCGGCGCCGTCTTGGGCTGGTCCACGACCATTTTGCCTACGCCACGTGTTGTCAGCGAGAATCGAAATTTGAGCTTCGCAGTCAGCGGCGGGCGCACCTGGTGCCGGCGCGGCGTCGGCAGCCGAAGCACCCGACGGGCGAAAGCCATCGTCCCAAGCGACAACGTGGCGGTTGGTCGCGACCCACGACGGCAGCGAGGTCTCGGGCATCGGCGTCTCGGCTCTTCAAAAATGAAGATCCATGACATAACCGGACGCAACAAGACGACGCATCCGGATAATGCAACGTCAGTGACGACGATGCCGGCGAGTTGCACATAGAGACGGCGCCCGTCTCGTTTGCCAGCGTTTCGCCGAGCGTGCTGCGACGGCTTTCCATGGGGCTAGCTGCAGCTGCATGTGAGTAGTCTTCTTGGGTGCAGGACCTTGCAGAGTGTGCACGGTCGTCTTTGCTTTGTTGTATCGTCGGCGCATGCGTGGTTGCTGCGGCACCAGCGTCCTCTAGCTTGTACGCCCCGTGCAACGTGGCCAACACCTTTTTCCAGTCGATGCAACCCAAGCATGTAGTAGCATTCGAGCGGCCGCAACATGCCACGCCCTCTGCCAAGGGCAATGTCGTGACGTGGCAGTCTCCTATCGCAGCTGCACTTGTGCCATCGCATATCCTAGTCGTACGGCGGTGATCCCTCCTGCGTGTCATAGGAACGGTGTTGGATTTGGTACATAACGGAGTCTACCACTCGCGGTTGGCAATGAGCGACTCGATATCGAACTGCAGATAGCCGTACGCTTCCGCAATGCACCCAATGTCGTTGGCGATGCATTCGCGCGCAACCGTGTCGATGATCGAGCCTTGCTCGTTGAGCTCCTCTTCGAGCGCGTTGAAGGCCGCGGTCGTCGCATGCGTGAGCTGCTCGAGCCCGTCGAGCGTGAGCGGCTTGGCGTCTTCGATGGCAGCGCAGAGCGCGCGCAGCAAGGTACGGCCCTTCTCGATCGAGTTCGCCGGGTAGAACGAGCTGCCGCGGAGCTCGGCGAGAAAGTCGTACGTCGCCATCTTGGCGTTGGTGATTGCCATCTCGATAGCTGAATGGATTCCAAGTGGCATTTTGCAGTTGGTGGCATTGTGCCACGTTGGATGCCGAAAATAAAGAGGCTTGGGACACGCGCCCATGACGTGGGCACGCTATGGCCGCCACGTACGTACACTTGTAGGCATACTGCACCCGTAGCACGTCGCAATGTGCTTTGTGCAAGCTTGACATTCGTGTGAACGTCCGTCGGATTCGCAGCGTCTGCGTTTGTTCTTGGACCTCAATACGATTTAAAAGTGGCATGTGCCGAATATAGGCCGCAGCCAGCACGTTCGAAATTTGTCCTTTTTTTTTCGTGGTTTGTCCGGCCACGAAGCGCGATGACAGGGATCCCCTGCCGTGGCTGCCAGTACTTCAACCTGCCCATCATGAACAAGTGCGTCATGTGCAAGGCGTCCATGCCACCCGATAGCGAGAAGGTCCAGATCCTCTACGAGCAGGTTCAGCGGCTCGAGACGCAGCTCGCTTCGTACGTCAACGCCGAGGTCGGCCCACCAAGCGTCGCGCCGCCGCCGCCGCCGCCGAGCGAGAAGCTGCCGCCGAGCGAGAAGCTGCCGCCGAAAGCGCGCATGGTCTTCTACAACAAGCGCGACCAGTACTTTCGAGATCCAATCCTGATAGCCCAGCGCCTCGATGCGACGCGCAACCATACGCCCGTGCCCTTTTCGGGCCAGCGGCAGCTCTCGTGCGTGTGGTGCTGTCGGGCCAAGCACGTGACGGACAAAGCGCCGCACTCGCGCCACGGCTGCAAGACGAGCGTCCACTGCGCCGAGTGCAAGGTTGCGCTCTGCCAGCGCGACCGCGGCAACGGCGGTGTCTCGTGCTTTGAACAGTTTCACGCCGCGCACGCGCTCAACAACCCGTGCCAACTTGGTAGTAGCAGCAGTAGTAGCAGTAGTGGTACCGTCGCGCTCGCCAGTAGCAGCAGCAGTCTCCTCCTTCCCGCCAATAGCGTCCTCGCCAGCGCACCAACGACCGTCGCCCGGCGAAAGAACCTGTCGGTCGCCAAGGTCCCGCGCGTCCGCTCCAAGAGCGCCTATGTGCTGACAACGCTGCCGCCGCCCAAAGCCTATGCGTCTATTTAAACGCAACATGTGTGGCGTTCTTCTTGCATGCAGTTAGCAGACAACCATCTCGCGTGCACCTCTGGCTAGAGCGTCTTTGTCACTACCTCTAGGACTGTCCGAGCCGACTTGCGACGTACTATGCCCACATATGTACACCATGGATGGCCGACCCATTCTATCATGCATGACCGCCAGCCTCGGATGGCCATTCGTATGGGAGAGAGCACACAGTCATCCTCGTCAGCATGTCATGAGGTCAAGCGACATAACAACGTGGCGGCCGCGCAGGTTTTTGTCCTTACGCTGCCACGTCAGCGCGCCACTTCTTTGGCCGTGGGTTCGGCGAAAAGAACGGACCGCCACACAGTGCAAGTGGTAGCCAACACCGAGTGGTCGCGATCTCGATCACAATAGCATACAGCGGCCGGCGCAGTAGCCTTCGAGGCCCATCCTGGCGCGCCACGAGCGCTACGAAGTCGCGCGACGTCGTGTAAACCGACGTTCCTTGTCGTTCCAGAGCCGCCATGGTTTGGTGAGGCCTTGCTGGATCTCGCGTACGAGTGCGCGCGTTGGAGGTTCGTTTGCACTGTCGCACCAATGGAAAACAACGCTTTCTTGGTTTGGTCCGTGGCAAGGCTATTTCCACGCAATTTTCAACGCCCGCTCGCAGGCCGAGAGCGGACGTGGGGGCGTGCATATCCTGTGTGCACCGAGTAGCCCGCTGCGGTATGTTTGGACGTGCAATGGCCACATATGATGCGCATGGAAGCGTCCTGTTCGCCGTCGATCGTCGACTTCGGCATGGATCGTTGCGTGTTTCTAAACGCTTGGTCGGTTTCCAGTGCGCGCGTCTCAAGCGCAGACAGGCGTAACGACGCGCCAGGTGGCGTGAGCATCACACCCGTCGTATACAAAGGGCAAGGTCACGACAGGCCGGCGCGCGATTGGTGGCAATGTGAAGCGACGAATTCCTTCGCCCACGTTCGTGGCCGTTCACTGTAATGTCTACGACGTCTTGATTCGGCGCGTTCGAGGTGCGGGAACTTCGGCTCACTTCCGAGTTTGCTCGGACCCTTTCTCTTCCTCCTCCCGTCTTTGTGTTCGTCGACCGACAACAAAGGCTGCTCCGCGCTCTCATTTCCAGTAACCAAGCATGCTCCACATGAACAGCACGATCGATCCGGTCGTCAAGGACACGGCCAGCCTCAAGCGGCGCTGGTTCGACGACGACAACGACGCGTGCGACGAGTCGCCGGCCATCGCGCTGCGCCATGACCTCGACGCGATCACGGTCGACGTGTGTGCGATGCAAGCCCAAGTCGACCAGGCCGTGCTCGATGTCCAGCGCCTCATGGCCATGATCACCGAGCTCGATGGCCTCCGGAAGCGGCGGCGCATGTGCTAAGCAAAAGCAGACAAAGAAGAAGACGCGAAATGACAACGACGCTCCACGATGCTCGACACCGATTCGTCGGCAAGACGACGTGGAGGAGGAAGGGAATGGAGATCAAGTGGCCACACGCGGCCAGGCGACCAAGACGACAAGATGTAGACAAGTAGACAAAAATTAAGATGCGAGTCGATGATAGATCGGGTTAAGCGCACCATAATATTTATGAAGCACCGCTGCTGCATAGACTCGCTGGTTGCGATCGGGTGACGGCCGCGATAGAGTACCTTGGGTAGCGAAGAGCCAAGCCGAGCATTACATCTGCGGCGTGGGACACCGTGGGCGCGACCGCTCCTTTTGCGTGGGTGGCAGCCAGCTGGGACATGCACGCAACGCCACACCGCGTTGCCCACGTTTGGACAGCACTGGTCCGCAGCTCGGGTCCGCGCGGTACCGGTAGCCGACAAGTTGAGCATACCCCATGCACCTGTGGTCCTCGCAGCAGCGGACGAGTTGTTGTTGTTGCAGCGAGTTCCACAGACTTGTAGAGAAATTGGGAGCTCGATACCGCGACGACAAGGCCGTTGCGTCCGAGGGCGTGCGTTCGTGCCGCCAAAGCGTGGCCGCGTTGCCAAAACGTGCTGGATGGAAACAGAGATCGAAATGCTGAGCCTCGACACACACGGCCGCACATCAATGGCTTATTGTGCTTATTGTGCTTATTGTGCTTATTGTGCTTATTGTGTTTATTGTGCTTATTGTGCTTATAGTGTAGACCGGTAATCTGAGAGCTGCACGAGAAATAGTTACTTGGACTTGGCGGCGACGTCCTTGCGGTACGCTTTCCAGCACCCTTGGCACACCTACACGCCAACACGATGTGAGAGGCGAAGGCGGTCGCGTCGGTTGGTCGTACGAGCACGTTGAGCACATGCAGGATCGCCATGCCACCGAACGCCATGGCGTACTGCACCTAATCTCGGTGTTAGCGCCGCTATTCTTACATTCGGTTAGTAGGAGTACGAGATGCGGGAACCGGGCGCGGTCGGCAAAGACAGCAACGTGCACCGCGATCGGGAGGACACCGCGCGTCGCGACAAAGGTCACCCAGACGCCTTGCCACGCGATGGCGTAGATCGCATGCGTCATGTTGTAGCCCGCCATCGAGAGGAGCTTCCGCGCATGAAGAAAGACCGAGTTCAGCTCCAGGAGAAGCATCACGACCAAGTAGCACTGGCCAACGCCATAGACGATCGCCGACGCGTAGCATGCGCCGACCATGATGTGGTGGGCGAGAATCCCGGGTGCCTTGAGCCACAACTTGTACGCGATAAGGTCGTAAAAGTCGTAGAGGAAGTAGCCCGTCGAGATGGCGAGCGGCAGGATCGCGCCGTCGGGGCTGGCGAGGACCCAGTCGGCGTCAAAGAAGACGCGCCCGTGGTAGCTCAGCACGGCGAGGCTCACGCAAGACGAGAGAATCGAATGCAGAAGCGAGACCGACGTGTTGAGCCACAAGAGGCGGTCCATGGGTGCGTCGCTGCGGAACGCGGCCACGCAGGCATGTGACGCATACGGCACCACGCATATGCGCAGCCCGTAGAATACCTACGCGCAGACTGAGCACACGCTGTCGCAGCATGGAATCGCGTTGGTACCAGCGCCGAGAGGCCAACGGGGCCAAGGCCGGGCACGTAGGCAGAGGCGCCGATCGCGCTCACGAAGGCGAGAAGCGCCAGCATGTTGCTTTCGAAATTGACGTTGAAGTGCCGGTTGCGGTGGGATCCGGATAAAAAGGCCGACGACGGCGGACTTCCATGTTGCACTTTGAGCGCCGGTCAAGGATCGACCTGTGATGAAGCAGGCGAAGAAGGAGCAGCGATACTCGGGCCCACCAAGAAAGGGTCCACGCAAAGACCCATAAGCCCACGAGGTAGGCGTAACCATATGAGCTGCAGTGCAAGGTTTGCCAGGTTGGCACAGCGAGCCATACTATCTCGACGGCCCTTGCGCTGTTGACGCTACAGAGACCAGTCGTTGGAGTAGCGTGATGGAGCGTCCGTGTAGCGCAATTTGCAAAGGAAGCGATCGACCTCGTTGCGCAGAGCAGACCAAGCGGCTGCAGAAGAATATCAAATTGTCAGGCCAACTGGCAACCTCGCTGCAAATGGCGACGCCTCGTTGCCAGATTGTGGTGGCAGTGGTGGACTTCTTAAGGGCTAAACGAGTGCTCTCGACTGTTGTTCCAGTACTTGATCGCCTGGTTCTCGCGACCTTGGCCACATCTACACCAACGTGCGATGCAACACATTGTGGCGCAGCGCTAGGCTTGTACGATCGTGCTGAATAGCGCATCCAAACACGGTCATTTCGAATTGGTGCCGATGATGGTATCTCGGTACCTCGTCTTCCTACTCTCGATCGCTGCGGTTGGCGCAGCGCAGAGCCTTCTGGCCGAGTGCCAGCGCTACGGCCACAATAGCTCATCGTCCGACTGGTTTGTGTACACCAACGACGCCTACTGCGCGACACGAGCGTATGGCTGCCTCCTCAACACGGCCACGTGCACCTCGGTGAATGCGGCGGCAGCGAGTATGAACCCGAACAACCAGGAGCTCAAGCTGCCGCTTTGCAACGCAGTGGGGAACATCGCCTTGTCCAATGCTTCGACCTTGTACATATACCGTGTGCTCTTGTGGGTTTTACACCTTTCTCTAGAGACCTCACCAACCAAGATTTCGTCGAGATGAAGGACGCCGTCTTGCCACCGAGCCTCGAATACTTGTATGTACAACCGAGGTATCGCTAGCAGCGTCACGGCTTGCGCAGGACCATCGCGCGATCGACAGTGACGGGGCTGGTTGACCCGTCGCAAAAAGAGCGCAAGGTGCTACCGGACTCGCTCACGCAATTGTACGTCACGGTGAGGACATGATCACATACTGTCACATTCTAGTTTTGCACTGCGATCGAACCTTGGCACACTCTCTGCTGCCTTTACGTGGCCGTCCAGCTTGCTTGAATTGTATGCAAACGACATATTGATTCGGTATCTGATCCGGGTCTTGGCTAGGTACTTGACCAACGCGGTGGTGCGCTCGATGCCGCAGATCATTGCACCGGCCTTGCGCAATCTGTACACTTATCGACTTTACGACGCGTCGTTGGTTCGACGGAAATACTGTTGTAGTGTCCTTATCAACGTCACGGCGCCCTTGAGGATGCTCGACTTGGTACCGACGCAATCCGTCGCCTCCATGTACGCAAGTATCAACTTGACAATTTTAATGAAGGGACGCGGTTAGGACGCTTCAAGACGCAACCTTGACAAGCATCGTGGATCGCAACTGGTCGAATACGCAGTTCTTGTGCGTCATCGAGTCGACTCACATGTCTAACGTGCTCTATGGGGTTAGAGACCTCTCCAACAACCGGAATCTGAGCACACTCTTCAACGTCACACTCTCTCCTGGCCTGCGCTACTTGTATGACATCATGTCTTTGGTTTATGACTCATGGTTTGTATCGACATTAGTGGCTGCTTCAACTGCTCGCTGACCAACATCACCGTGCACCAGTCGACATTTGAAGCGTTCAACCGCCTCGAGATCGCATTTCCCGAGACAAGCTCGCCGTCGTCTGGCTTTGGCTATGACAAGCCCATCACAACAGACGCAGCCGCGTGCGCGGCGCTTCAAGGTTCGGTCCAGAAGCTCCAGCCGCTGCAGCGTTTTTTGAACGTCGAGCTGTGTGTGCTGCCAGGTATCGTGTGAATGGTTAGTCAACATATTGTGATTTCGAACCTGCATTTTGAGTAGACCCCAACCCTGCCATACCACTAGAAGCCACACCTGAAGAAGCCACCACTCGTACCTGTCGCAGAACCTACTTGTCACTCATACTATGAATTGTTTAGACACGGGGCTCATCGTTGGCTGCACCATCGGTGGTCTCGTCGTCGTCGGTCTGCTCGTTGCTTATGGTTTGCGTCGTCGCGCCAACGACGCCCACGCCGACGGCTACTACTACTGCCGCACAATCAACAATGCCACCGATGGCACCGGTGACTACAGCGAGATGGGTCTCAACGTCGACGACCTCCGCATGCACAAGCTCGACGTCGGCGATTATGTTGTCACGGGCAAGAAACCACTGGCGTCCGGTGCCTTTGGCGAAGTCTGGCTTGGCGCGTACGGCAACGACAAGGTCGCGATCAAGCGCATCAAGGACCGCCGCGTCGAGAGCGTCCGCAAGTTTATCGACGAAATCACGCTCATGGCCAAGTACGTTATCGCTTTTTGTGGAAAATATTGTCTCATATGTTGTGGACTACTGTAGGATGGACAGTGATTTCATTGTCGCGTTCGTCGGCGTCGGGTGGCGCCGGCCGATCGAGATTGAAGTCGTCGTCGAGTACATGGACCTTGGCGACCTCCGCAACTACCTCCGGACAACGTCTGCGGCTCAGTTTGACTGGCGCCAAAAGGCGTCGACGATCATGAGCATCGTCCGCGGTCTTGTCTACCTCCACACGTTTGAGCCGGCGATCATCCACCGCGACCTCAAGTCCCGGAACGTCCTCCTGGATGCCAAGAAGGGGACCAAGCTCACCGACTTTGGCGCGTCTCGTGAAGCGTCCGACGCCAACATGACCAACGGCATTGGCACGTACCAGTGGATGGCGCCCGAAGTCATCATGGGCACCGACTATACGATCGCCGCCGACATTTACTCGTTTGGTACTAATATCTCTCCGTAGATTAGGGTTTGTGATGATGCTGCTGCTGTAGGCGTCATCTTGTCCGAGTTGAGCACGCACGCCGTGCCGTACGGTGACGAGATCAACCCCGCAACGGGCCGCGCGTACACGCAGCAGGCTATCATGACCAAGGTGACGTCGGGGAAGCTGCGGCCAACGTTCGAGTCGGTGACGACACCAACGTGGGTCCGCAAGATGGGTCACCAGTGCCTGGCAGCGTCGCCCGACGACCGTCCGACGGCTCTTTTGCTCACGTCGATGGTGCAGTGCGCCATGTCTCAGTCGGTGTAGTCTCACATTTTTCTATCAAGTTGGCAAAATTTCCAAACAAATCATTGCTGTATACACTATGTACTATCATGGTTTTACATGGACTACTGTATCCAGGATGCACAGCAAATCGGTCGCGCAAAGCGCACTAGTACTCGGTAGCCGCTCCGATAAAGTCCCGGACGAGCACCGTGAGCTCGAGTGTCGTCGGCCGCTGCGTCGGGTCCAGCGACAAGCACCGATTCCCGACCTCGAGCAACCAGCTTGGAGCTGCCTCTGCGAACGTGGGTCGCAGTGCACCGGATGTGACTTTCGACAAGATGGCTTGCTGGCTCAGTGCTCGGCCGGACGAGGCGTTCAGAGCATCGCTGTAGGGAACCTTGTGCGTACTCATCTCAGACAAAATGACCCCTACACAAGATCAAACATCAGAAACATCAGAACCCTAGCCCCAGATTGCCCTAGCCCTAGACCGTACCAAACGAGTAAATGTCGGCGGCCACCGTATACTGGGTGCCGAGAATGACTTCGGGCGCCATCCACTGGAACGTGCCAATGCCGTTCGTGAGCGTCTTTTGGTCGTCGAGAATTCGTGAAGTGCCAAAGTCGCTGAGTTTGGTTCCGTTTCTCGAATCCAAAAGCACATTGCGCGACTTGAGATCGCGGTGGATGATCACGGGCGCAAACGTATGCAGAAACACGAGACCGTACACGATGCTCTCGAGGATCGTCGCCTTTGTACTCCACGACACATTTTCCTCCGTGGACGCGGCGAGGAAGCTGCGCAGGTCGCCGAGGTCGCAGTACTCGACGATGGCCTCAATGTCCATGAGGCGGCGCCAGCGCACACCGAGAAGTCGGACAATGTACGGGCTCTCGAGTCTACATCCAGAGAATGTCAATATAGCTATGATAGAATAGAAAGTAGAGACGTGTGGAGGAGCAGAATCTCGTGAATAAAGTCGTGGACAGAGGCGGGCGATGGACTCTTGACGCGCTTGAGAGCGACGGTGGTGTGGGCGTAGATACCGCGCCAGACGTCGCCGTACGCACCCGAGGCGAGTGGTTTGGTGCCGCAAAGAACGATGGCGTCGGCGTCGATCTGGAGCAAATGGAGGGTTTTGAGCTCATCCGGTCGGAGCGTTGACGCGAGGTAGTCGTCGTCGGCCGACCGACTGGACTTGGTGAACATCTTGCTCGTGTGGTAGAGGCATGTAATGATACCAGCGAGTACAAGCACCGAGATTGCCGTGACGGCATAAATGGTGAACTCTACAATATATATCGTGTGGAGACGACAAGAACGGGTGAGGGTTGTACCATTGACGTTGAAGTCATAGGTATCATTTGCTGCACCGGGAAAGACGCACACCGTGTACTGCGGCATGGCATTCCACAATCGTATCACGTGGCGATCGGTCCCTTCGCACGGCCCGCTTTCGAGGCTTTGGACGCGAAAGCTCGTACTCGGATCGAGGCGCTGGAGCGCGCGAAACGACGCAGTGTCGAGGCGCGTGGACGTCACATTGCAGTTAGAGCAAGAACTGCATAGACCGTCAAGTCATGCTGGATCAATCGAGGCGACGTACAATCGCTGAAGGCGGTCCGAGAGGTACAACGCTTCGAGCTTTTGAACGCTAAAGAGCTCCCTACGTAGTAGTTGGTCGCATCCACCAAGTGCTCGAGACGAAAACACACAGTTGCTCGAGGTGGGAGTGGTTGCCACCAAAAATGCCAATGCCTCTAGGCACGTCCAAGCGCCTACGTGACCAGTAGCACCTCGATGGGTCCCCTCAGGAAGGCGCACAGATGCGTCAGCGAATATGGGAAACTTCCGCTGAACGACACGTCGCTGTTGTCAACGTCTCTATGCACAGTCGTGAGCACCAACACTGCCCTCGATGGAATCGTCGTACAGCTCCTTGATACGGCGCATCCCCGTCAAATCGAGGCCTCGGAACGCATCCCTCATCGTGCAATTGGTGAGCTTCCTACGTAATGCTGCATCATCCACGTCGATCGTAGAGTCGAGAGACCAGCGCTCGAGGCCTCTGGGAAGGGTCAAGTTTGCAAGCGAGCTAACTGTAGCGCGTTCCAACCATCTACACGTCGCCATGAAGGCACTCCGTTTCGGTGCGAGCCCTACAGGGAGCGGAGTGCGGCCGGCAGCTGCAGGTACTTGTGCGTCAAATGATGGTCTTGGACGTTGACCATGGTGCTACACAGAGCGTACGTTAGAAGCCAAAAGCTTGTCCAACGACTTACAGATTGGCTGGCGCGTGGTGCGAGAGGTCGCCGAGGAGGTAGCCAGCGGCAAAATCGAAGCGGGTCGCATTCGCCGGCAGCGTCGCCACCACTGAGCAACGACCATCGACGACGCAAGCAGTTGCGCACGAGCCGTCGTTGGTCAAGACGGTCTCGCCGGGCTGGAGATCGTCGTACTTGCAGGCCATTTTGGAATAAACGCAGCAAGCCGATGGTCCCGCCATCGTTGCCAACCCCAGCGGCTATTCTCCAAATATCTCCAAAGTGTCTTTGACCGACAAAAATCGGGTTGTTCAAGAGACACTATAGTGATAAAGACATTTGATTTGAGACGAATCGGAGAAACATGGCGCGCGCTTCTGGGTGACAGCCCTGTCGTTGACAACCATCGGTCAGACCCACATGGACCAGACCCGCTGCTAACTGTTACCGACAGCCTAGCCACTGACACACAGACAGCAACACAGACTTGTGTATTCACCACTTGTTGAATGGACTCGACGGTGTGCAGCTACAGCGACCTCAGCGACCAGCAGCGCGTGCTTGTGGCCGACGGCTCGTGCGGCACGGCGGCGACCTGCCTTCTCGACCGCAACTGCGCGATCACCATCGTCATGCCAGTCAACGCCACGCGCTTTGATCTAGAGAGCCACTGGCTCATAGGCGACCTCTCGCGATACCCGCACGACACACTGTACGTTCCAATATTGGTCCATTCTGTCATTTGACAGCCATAGAGAGCTCGCGCAGCTGCAGAGCCTCACGGGTCTCCACACGTTTTTCCAGTTGCCAGTAACTCTGCGCGCTCTGTATCCACCCGCTTCGATTTCTTGCCTTATATGGAGGCTGGTAGCTCGCTTGTCAACTCGACCTTTCAAGACCCGGCGCCCAGCGAGTATTTTGCAGCCGACTCTCTCCAAGTCCTTCAGCTGCCGCGTGCGATCGAGAGCGTGTAATTTGTGTTGCATGCTCAAGGAATCTCTCATATCGATATTGATATAGGACGCTGCACACATGCATTTTGCAGGGAAACGTGCGATTCCCGGGACTCCGCAACCTCCAGCGACTGTACCAAGCTTGGATTGGTGTCGATCTCATTTCTCGACGATACTAGAGAGGTCCGGCGCGCTCGCTTTGACGACATTTGGCTGCGCGATGTCCGCGACACGTTACGGCACCTGTACCTATATGCAACTGGTGGATCCCTCGGACGACGCTTGACCTGTACTAGCGTACTCGACAATATTGCGCTGACGGGCTGGACCAAGCAGTCGCTGAGTCTGCCACTGCATCGACTTCAGACCCTGTACGCACGAATGCAAACGGATGCGCTTTGTTATATCCGGTGATTAGAGAGCTTGCTGGCGTGCGCACGTCGATCTCTCAACTCGACGTGTCGTCCGAGCTGCGCTACTTGTACTCTGCACTTGATGGTTGCTACGATATGACACTGGCTAGTGTAGTGCCTGCGACGACTGCGACATCTCCAGTCTTATTGTCGACAATACAACGTACGCGGCCCTCGCGGCGCTCGCGCCAGCTTCGCCCAACGCAACGAAAGGCTATCGCGTCAGTGGGATTCACCAAGATGCCTCTGCGTGTGCTATTGAGCACGGCCACGTCCAGATATTGTGGCGCACCAGCTCGGTCTGCATCCCCGATCGCAGCAATACGGTGGATGGTACCGTGTTTACCACCGCACGACCCTTGGCTCATGGCGTTCCTGCGTAGTCTACGGCGGAAGCTATTCGTTCCGGCGCTACCCACAGTACTACGTTGGCGGCGGCGTGATTCTCTTTTGTGTCCTCTTCTTCGCCATCTGTATCATCCGCCGCGGACGCCGTGCGGTCAAGAGCCGTCGGTCGGCCGACGACGACTACCTCGCGTTGACACTTGGCTCGAGCGAGCTTGACACGCTACAAATGCTCCAGATCGACGCCGACGCCATCGTTCTCTGCGGCACCAAACCACTCGCCTCTGGTGCGTACGGCGACGTCTGGCGCGGTATCTACGCCCACACAACTGTCGCTCTCAAGCGCGTCAAGAGTCCATCACCTGCCTCTGTCCACGACTTTATCCACGAGATTCTGCTCCTCCACACGTCT